ATCCAATAGATGGGGCAGCCTAGGAGCCCACCCATGGGCAGCTGAACAGCTCAGGCAATGACGCACGCAGACAGAGGATGAACAATCATTTATTTAGTTGGACCATATGCCTGTTTATTGACAAATCTTCCTACAGAGCTTAGGCATAAGATACCAAGATAAGTCTGATGTTCTGAAATTCCCAAGCTTTTCTCAGCTGGGCAGAGTCCGGACTACCATGTCATCCTGATTGCCCTTTCTGTTGTGAATGTCTATCTTGAATTCAGTCCAGAACAATTCAAGCCAGTTTTAGCATTTTGTTTTGTTGCGCTATTTTTTCTGCTGATGGAGCATGTTAAAATGGCTCAGATCAGTGTCTAATGACCACCAGGGCTTGCACAAGGAAAGCGCCAAGAGTGCACAACAGGCAGCTGGAAGTGCAGGAGGACTGAAACCACTCCTTAGGCTCTCTTGGGGACCTCCTGCCATTACAGCACTGTTCAAGAAGGCTAACACGCAAACACATTAGAGGGCTTTCTGCTTATGACTGGCTCCCCAAAATCAGTCAGAGCTTCAGGATGAACCTCCCTGCCCGTCTTCCTTGCAGTCAGCATAGCTACCACACCAAAAGGGCTTTTTATCTCTGACTTTATTAGAGCAGAAACTAAACCACAGTAACTTCTCAAATACAGAAAATTGAGGTTTCGCTGTTTGATGAGTAATAAAAATACAGAGCATGAATGCCAGTTTCCCTGCTGCTCATTGTGACGGTGAGCCATTACTTTCAGACCCTGTATGTCTCAGCTTGCAATCTCAGCTCAACCTCTGCAAAGCTTCTCTGGTCTCCAGGAGAACCTCGCTCCTGCAGATCTGAGCCACCGTTGTCCTCTTTCTGATCAGATCCTTGCCTCTTCATCTCATGCTACATCTTTCATCTGCTAAACCTACCTCTTGAACATTCCCCTCCTGGCTTCCTTGAAGCCCAATGGATCCCATGGAGAGCACCATCTTCCTCTCCTTCCAGAAGATGCCCATGACCCTGTCCATGTGTGGCAGCTAGAACATGGAATACCAGGGAGTCTTCTTGTCCAGCCAAAGCTCATCCTTAAAATGCAGTATGTGAGATATATAATTATGTGAATAGGCAAATAAAAGAAAAAACTTCCATCCTGCTACAGGCTGGCCTTCCAAAAAATAAGGGTAACTTTGAAAAAGGCAGTTACTGAAGTGCTGATGTAAAGGAAGCGTCGGCTGTTTGGATGTAGTTGCATGCTGAGGTATGATAGCCTGCTGAAGCCATATTTTTGGCAAAGGCACAGGAGGCAGTGACTCCACAAGCTGTTCAGTTCATCTAATAACTTGCTGCTGCTGAAACGAAGTCCTGTTTCCACTTCATTCTCCCATCTCTGGACTGTAGCTATGTGGCCCTACCATCTTTCTCCTGGGCTTTCATGCCAACTCCTGCACTCTCTGGACCATGTCACGAGCCACTTAGATCACTAGAGTAGTAGAAAAATGTAAAACTATTTATTTTCTGGCTTAATTTCTTGCTATGTGAGTTTGAGGTAAATCAGCTCATGGGGGAATCCTGTCAGTCTCTGTGCCAGGGCAAGGTAAACGGTGGAGAAAGCCTGTTAGTAGTCAGGAGTGAGAGAGAAATGCTGCCCACCCATTTTCCAGCAGAAAGTCATCATCTGGCTCAGCTAAATAGGGGACCAAAGTCTAAGGTGCAAATGATTCCCCAGGTCAATCCACAATACATTGATTAATATGCAGAACATCTCTGTCTTCAGGTTTCTGGAGTCAGTATTATGCTGTTAAGAATTCTGTATTAATACATATAGTTTATATAATATGAATAAACACTTGAAAAAAACTTTGAAAAAAAATTTTAAAAGGTATTCTATGATGTAGGGTTTAGCACTGGCAAAGACAACGTTAAAAATATTTCATAACACCAGTTTTATAATAACACTCATGCCTTTCGTGCTCCCCTAATGACATCCATTGCCAAACGTGAATATAGGTGCTGAATACCTGGAGTAGTGATACAAAAAATGCTGACATCTGCTCATCACAATGCATTCATTTAAAGTGTTTCTATATTCAGAGATACTACTACACAAACAAAGCATACTAAGCCCAGCTTGGTTCTGGACATGATTCAGTTTGCTGTGAATGATTGCCAAGGCAGACTATATAGCCCATCCCAATTTCAACCTGCCCTAATTCCCTTTATGAGTTTATTATTTAGTGCTGAATTAGTGCTCAGAGAGACCCAAACAGGAAGCGTCTGGGCGTTCTCTGTTCATGAAGTGGGTGGGATGGAGTTCTTTAGAGAAAACAAAATATGATCCACCTACAGATCATGTTAGGCCAGCTCCCCAATTTCCTCTAAGTAGAACAGAGGCTTTTGTTGCCTTAGTTACTGGAACGATGTACTGGTCAACAGCAGAATCCCAGTCTCCAGACAGAACATCCTTCTGCATTTCTGATGGCAACATAGGATGGGAAATATCTACTTTTCAAATTTTTTGTTGTAAAAAAAAAAAAAAAAAGTGGGTTATTTAACTCTGCAGAAAATAAATTAATAAAAAAAAATCAACTTGTAAAAAAAATTCTGCAAGGTCACTGAATGGAGGGAGTATCTTCTGGTAGAGGGTTACAGCTTCCACTAAAGCAATGTTCCTGGATGTTTTATTTTCTATTCCTTTCTTAACAAAGAAAAGAGCAAGCACTGGAAACTGTATGCTAAATTTCAAGGCTTAAATAGACAACAGTAGCTACGTTTGTAGAGCCAGATTACTGAAGCCTGTCTAAAACTCATAGATGTTCCAGATAGGATTTTAAATTGTTCTTCTCCTTACCAGAGGTATAGCTATTGTAGTATTATCATCTATTTTTCCTTGGACACAGAAGCTGGAAAACACAACCCATCTGTTTTTGCTGCAAAGTATGATCAGGTTCAAATTCTTTCCTTTAGTTTCGAAAACAAGCATTTCAGTATGGTGATACTTGGGTGATAATTTACACTGAAATGGGGGTCCAAAATAGTAATTTTTAAGCAAGAATGGAGTCCCAAATAAATGATGGATTCTCTTCTTTCCCAGAATGGTGTGATATGAGGTAGTGTTTCCCTTGAACCTAAAATGTATCTCACTTTCTGTGGCCATGGGCTCCCTTGCCCTGCTAATCGTTTTTCTCACCCCATAGTGGTCTCCAGATACTATCCATTGATAACATTTTTTTTCTGTGGGATTAAGTTTTGGTCATTTTAACTCTGCAAGCTGATAGTGGAGCAAGATGAACACCAGCACCAGGGCAATGAAGGGCTCAGGGTGGCCTGCTGGGATGGTGTGGCTGAGGTTAGGGGTGTTGAAGGAGCTGGAAAGTGAGAATAAGGCCGTAGAAATAGTTAGGCTAATCTAAATGAAAAAGCAAACATTTTCTACCATATGTCATTGCTTGCAATGAAGATCTAGTCAGAATGCTGTTGATTTGTGTGATTCTGAGTAAATTTGGAATTTTCACTTAGATGAATTCAGATTTTAGAAGTTAGTAACTGGAGTTCTATAAAAACCTCAGATTACTGTAAATCAACGTTGAAGTTGAGAAACTAGGATGTAATTTTAAAGCATTTTAATAACTTTATTAATTTTCCCTTATATCATAATACGAGTGTAAACTATGCATATTAAGAGAGCAACCAAATCTATTTGACCATTAATGCCATTTTAAAATACTTGTACTTTGTTCAGCTTTAAGTAAGATATTTTTATTGGTACTTCCAGTAATTTTCTGACATTCATGCCCTATTGTTGCATTATTTGAACTCCAGAACACTGTTTAAATCTACCCCTCCTCGCCGGTGTTTAAATGGCAACATATTTAATACAAACATCACAAATGTGCATTACTTCAATTATTTCAATGTCAATTTCTACGTATGTTCTAAACAGAAATTTCAGCTGAAATTACCTGTCATAGTTCCTTTCCAAAACTAAGGGTTGATTCAATGTAGAAAGTTTTTTTTTTAATGACTGGCAGGATTTAAATTGTGGCAAAATCCTCTACAGTAGGATTTACATGCCATTTCTTCTGCAAAGACCGTACGTGGAACTGAACGTTTGAGATGAAGGAGTTGTTGGGACATTGTTATTTCTGGCTAATCTATTCTATCACAAAGCTTATTATTTGTACTAACGCCAAACATATCAAGTATGATTGACAAACATTTGACAGGGGATTGCGTGCTCCCAAGCTTCAGACTGGAGGCCTGAATGTACAAAGCCTGTCCTTATTCCCATTTTTACAGGGATCTAGCATACATGTTTTCACTGTTCCTTTGTATTTCCCTAGTTTTCATTCCTTTGTAAATGAAAGCATACTAGCTGGCTTTAGAGGTTACCCTCAGTATAGTCATGCTAATTGGAGCTATATAGAAATAAGCCACGATAGGCCCCTCTGAAAGTTTAAAAACGAAAAACTTTTAATGGGAAGAATGTTGGACCCATACAACCAAACAAAGGGGCTAACAAGCCCACCTCGCCTTGTTTCTCAAAACCCTTCATGTTTTAATTTACTAAAATTCTGCTTTTTATGCAGAATTCAAAACCTGACCAGTATTCTGTGTGTGTGGATGCCTGCCTAAAAGGGAAAAGGGAGAGCTTGAGCTGTGCCGTTTAGAGATTTTTTGAAGGTGAGAAGGGCCATGCGACGCGTGTGTGTGAGGGCCTTCTTGCTCTCACATGTGGGCCATGCACGTGACGACAGAGAAAAAAAAAAAAAAAAAAAACAACCAAACCAAACCAAACAAACGAACAAACAAACAAAAAACAAAAAACAAAAAAAAAGCTGAGGAGACGAGAAAATCAGAAATCCGAGGCTTTCCCCGAGCCAGCCTCCAGGCCCCCCAGTGCCAAGGGGAAGCGAACTAAGGCCGCGGGGCCGAGTTAAAAGTCCGGGGGGCGCGGGCGTTGCGCTGAGGGCGGCGCGCGCTGCGCGGGAGCGGGCGGCGCGCGGCGTTGGCGCACCTGCGGGCGGGCGATGGGCAGTGAGGCGGGCGGCCCGCGGGCGGCCGCGCCGGGGCAGCAGCTCCGCGCTCTCTTCTACGCGCTGCCGCCCGGCGAGAGCTCCTTCCGCGCGGTGGAGGAGGTGCCCGACTACGTGGAGAAGGTGAGTCCCGTCCCCATCCCTCCCCCGCAGCGGCCTTCCCCGCCCGCCTCCGACAGCCGCGGGGGGCCCTAGGGGACAATGCCCGCCAAAGGGCACCTAATTTAAGATGAAATACCTCGTCTTTCTCTGACCGCTTTTGCTCCCGGGCTCTCTGTCTGCAAGGTGCTTGCGTAAACTGCCCGTGTAACCGTGCACTCTATTTTAATGTAGTTTAAATGAAGGCTCAGATGCTTTCTCCTGATATCAGGAGCTGAAGTTTTTAGAGAAGCATCTCAGATACCTGAGGGCTGATGCTAACGTTGTTCAGTTTGTCGGTGCTGCTGGATTATAGTGGCAGCAAACTGAACTGATTAAGCCGGAAAACACGATACTGTGTTCGGCTGTTGTGGTCCTTAAAGCAAGCGAAAAGTCAGGCCTCCTTCTGCCTTTGAGGTGAGTGCTACAAGCTCAGTCAAAGAAAGAAAAATAAGAATTTCTATTTAAAACAAAAAATAAAGATTGTTTAAGAGAATTGAGAACAAATATTTGGGTTGGGACAGTGCTGTCTTCTAAAGCTCCGTGGCAATAGTACAGAGGTCAGGGGTGAGAACTCCCTTGTCAGCAGGCAGCAGCAGCATATCCCTCCCTCCCTCCCCTCCCGCCCTGCCAGCTTAGCCACTTCATGAAGGTACCTTTGCTCCCTTCTGTACTACCCATTGCACGTATCTTGGCACCCGGCTCCTGCTGAACCTGGAATCGATGTGAGCTTTTCATGGAGACAGCAGATAAACATTATTTTGCCCATGTCAAAGTAAATTCAGTCCAGCTTCACTGAAGATCCACACTGTTTATATCGGTCCTGGTATATCTGACTGGATCCTGGGATTTCTGACTAGCTCCTTTGCCAGATAAGGCTTGGACTGCTGTGCAGCAGCTATTGGGCTGCAATAGGGGTGTCGTGGGTTGCGCAGAGCAGTGCAGCTCCGTCAGCAGCTTTCTGGGAATTGTAGTACGCAGCAGGCCCTCGCTGTTATCAGCAAACATTGCCCTTTTGGATAGGGTAAACAGACAGATGCTGCAAACCCAGCCTGTGAATGCAGTGTCTGGTCGATGGACTGCTTTCCTCAGAGGCATTTTGCAACTAAGCTACAGTGTCACGATCGAGGAAGACTGTCTAGAGCTTGCCTAGTCATCTGGTGTCTCCAGCTTTATCTGTTGCATATCTCAGTCCCTTTTACTGTTTCTCCATTTCCAACCCAGTATCATTTACTTTCTTGCCAACAGCATTCCTTAACATCCCTGGGCTTTCTTCTCCTGTGCAGACCTGTGCAATATTCAGCTCAGACCTTGGCCAAACCTGGAATCTCATTTACTGGGTGCACAGCTGTAAAAGTTTGAGGAAGGATTCTTAATGCTTCTTTGGACTGTAAAAGTGCCTGCAGGCTTCTGCTGTTGTAAAGCACCACTGTGATAAGTTTGTAAGTGAATATATACCTCGCAAAAAAACTACAGTAAAAAAAGGTTTCCCATTATGGTTCTACTTTCCTATAATTGCTATCTTGGAGGTTAGTTGTACTAGAATCCCCCCCCCCCCCCCCCCCCTCAGTGCATTTGTTGCCAGAACAGATCTTTTGATGCTTGGTTAGGTGGGTGTGTAAAAGACTTTTAGTAGTGTAATTGTCTTAATGGCTCTGGTCTGAGCTTAGGCAGTGTTCACACCTCTTCTTCTGGCCACGTGTTTGTGGGCAGAAGGTAACTATCTACAGTCCCTCTCCATCTGCTTTTCACTGTTTTTTATTTGACCTACTGCTCTGGCAGCTTTTCTTGGGCTGTTGAGTGAACAACAGCAAGAATAGCAGATCCATTGGATGCAGGAGGGCTAGGTCTAATAGTGACCTGATGAGCCATTAAAGAGGGGCTCAGAGTGGTAACCCCTTGAGCTGGTACAAATACAGAAGTGGATGTCTGAGCTCAGCCCAACACGGAACAAAAAAATTTCTAGTGTGGAGCTGGTAATAAATGAGGGCCTCTGCTCCAATAATTAATTCTAAAAGACAGTAACAATTATGCAGGTGTGAAGCAAACTACTGATTACATTAGCGTCTCCTAAAGAGTTTTTTTTTATGCTTGTTTGGTTTTTTTTTTTTTTGTTTTTTCTGAGGCATCGTATGGAAGTAGGATTTAGATCTCAGATCTGTGATCTCTCATGTATCAGATGCATGAGGGTATTTCTAGTACGTTAGATCACATGGTTACAGCTGTGAGGATATGCACCTTCCAACATCAGGCATGTGACAGAACCTCCTAATTCACTCAAATATTCATGTTTTGAGTGATCTGCAAAATTGAGCACTTTGGTGATTTCCCAAATATAGGTACTTCATAGGAGTAGCTCCTGTGAGCTAGTCAGCTGTGCCAATACACCTGGGCAGCAAATGATAGCAGTGGGTAAAGCAGTTCTGATTTTGAGAACTGAATAACGTGGGTTAACTTGTGTGGTGTACTTTCTGGCTATTGTTATATTACTTCCATTTCAGAGGCAGGACAGCTCGCGGTCCCTGTATCGTGCTCTGTATTTTATCAGAACTGTGTGTGAAGGCCTCAAGTCATATTAAAAACATGAGCTGATCAGCTACTAGTGACCAGTAGCAAAGCTCTGCAGCAGGGCCCTGGGAAAAATCAGCCTTCCAACTGATCTCCAGAATTCTGGGAAAAGGGGTCCAAATCCTAGACCATAATCATAGAACTTATTTTTATGTGAGCTTTTGTCATGTAGAACTTGAAGCCCTTGATTTCCCCTTATTTTTAGGAAGAGAAGGGCAAGTATAAGTCAATTTTCTTTCTCTAGGGCAGAATGTCCTGACTCTCACAATGTATACTCATGCTTCCCCTGTCCTTTCATGAGCATCTTCTTTGCTATGGATATAAGATTATGCTCTGCATGCTCTGTTTTTTCGATTCTCTCATAATCTACAGATGGGCAGATGGAGTGCTGCTTTTTCCTTGCTGACTGTAGTTTTCATGAACAACAACAACTTTACTTTGCTCCTTGCTATGTTCTGAAATTACTGCTTGTGCTCAGTAAAGACTTTCATGAGTCAGATTCAGGAAGAGAGCACATTGTTCCTTCCGCCAAGAGCCCCAAAATGAAAGCTTTAAATTTAATAATCACTGTTTTTCTTTTCTATTTACTCTGTTTTTGGGAGCCTGAAGATTAGGTTCGCATTTATACTCAATTTACATTTTAGGCTTTGCTTCTAAATAATAAGGCACAGAACCTTCACATTTAGTTTTACATGAAAGTTGAGATTCTTGTGCTATAAGGACCTGGGACTTTAAGAAAACAAACTGTTTCAAGTCTTGCAATAAAACCATGAATTTATGCTGAGTTTCAACTGAGAATATTATTTTTTGCAACTGTTTAAGCAGAAACTAATTTTAAACGGTCCTTTGCATTCTGTAAGAGTTGGTTACTTAGAAAGGAATTCCTCTTACTCAGTGCTCAGAGCTTTCAAGGTATGGATCAGTTATTCAAGTAAACCACAAGCTAATACAAATCTCCATTAAATATTTCTGGTGATGGGTGAAGAGAAAGAAACTGGAAACGGAGAGAGAGTAAAACATGTATAGACAAGAAGATATCAGTAGGGATCCAGCTTCTGTTTCTGACATGTGATGCCAACAATGGCTATTTCTTAATTTTGTGCCATTTTGTTTGTAGGGGCAATCCGTGAAAACTCTTGCAGAGCTACCTATCTATCCTCAACAGGTTCCTTAAATGTCCTCATTGTCATTCTAACTTAAACAAAAAAGGAAAAAAAAATAATGGTTAGGCTAGTGAGACTATTGTCTGTCTTACTGACTGTCTCATTTTTTTCTGAAGTATTTGCATTATCCTTCTGGTGTCTTACATCTCATCCTTAGACTGTAGGCTATTTGGGACAACAAGAACCTTTTCCTTCTGTTTGTACAGCATCTAACATGGTAAGATCATACTCCATGACAATAGCTGTTAGGTGTTATGATCACATAAATAATACATACTAGTTTTGATATAGTTTGATCCCTTCGATCTGCTTTGGACAAAGCTTAATGTGGATGTGTGGGAGAGAGGTAGTAATTTCTTAGATACTAAGAGGTATGCTATAAATCTTACCTTTCACACGCTCCTTGATGGGCAGAATGTTAAGTCTCTCTGAATGTTTCTCTATCCTCCTTGCTATGACACTCCCTATTTGTGAGTCAAAAAGTGCTGTCAAATGCTTGGCTGTCTCTCAGCTTCACAGTGGGAAGAAAATATTTAATGAAGTCAGTGGGAGAGAAGTTGTATTAGTATAAAGTCAAGTATTTTAACCATTTCAGAGGTTTCTAGGTAAAGTGAATCACCACATATAATGCAGGCATCATATATTTCCTGTTCACTATTTTCATTTCATGAATGAAACATCCCACTTTTTCTGTTCTGAGCCCATTCAATTTGCTGTGCAGCTTCTGGTGTCCCATAACTTCAAACTGCCTGTAGTCTCTGTTAGACCTGGCTCCTAATATTATGGTCAAGCATTTGTTAGTTCTTCTTAATAAGACCCTTTTTATCTCTGGTAGAATGTTACAGCTGTGGTCATCAAGCTTTGTTTGGTAAGTTAGGAATCTGTTCCTTAATTACATCAATTAAGAAAAGTACATTAAAAGTCTTGTCTACTCAGAAATGAAGCAGCTGGAGCAAAACAAGTATTTATATTTTCCTAGAACGTTTCAGTGATTTCAAATGGAAGGTTGTGGTGTTTGGTTTTTATTTCTCTCTTTATTATTGATTTCAAATATCCAAAGATCTACCACATTGGTTTTCTTGGGTGTTCTTTAGGCTTTATCCATAGGTCTTCCTTTGATTTCAAAGTGTTTTATATCATCAGTTAGTGCATATCCCAAACAGGCTTTTAGATACCTAAAATGCTGTTAAAGAGCAAGCTAGGCATCTAAATTAAAAAGTGCCATGTTGATATTAATCTCTGTTCATCTGTTATTGTAACCTAACCCTGAGCTGCTGAAGTTTATGAACTTTCACATTTCCTAGACGCTATAAATCTCTTGCTCCTTGCATGGTTTGAATCATCCAATTCTTCTTTGACTGAGCAATCTGGTCTATATCCATCTTAGGCTCTTCAGTGTCCCAGCCTGGTAGGAATTCCCGGATCATATCTCACTTGCCAACAAAAATGAGCACCCTCCAAAATGCAGTGGCATTTGCAGAGGCAACATGCTTATTCCATTAAAATGTTGTATAGGCAGGGGCAGCCTCTCTTCTACAGCAGTGCAGTTTGGGGGGTTTCAGTGTGTGGATCTGTATGTGCAAACGCAGGTCACTTGAAGGGGGCAGCAGACGACAAACAGGGCGAGTCGGGCAGTGTGATGCCTCCCCTAATGGTGCGGAAAGTCTCACCGGTCTTGCATTTCTCTCGCCCTGCAAAACACGGTGGGAATTTTATGCCTTAATACCAAGAAGAAGTAGTTGTCTGAATGTCTTCAAGGTCACCTAAAAGTTTTCTACAGAGCGAGGGAGGCAGTTGAAAGAACATTCACATGCACATAGACTTGATGCAAGTAAAATAGCTGCCTCCTATTTTCCTTGCCAATGTGCCTTCTAGATTTTGGTGACAGTGGCTGATACGCTGCCACTGCCTTGTCATTCTTTCCACCTGTGAAGTGCAAGGACTGTTAGGACTCCAGTGTGAGTAAAAAAGTATATGCTCTGCCAATTACTGTTATTCAAGGCTTTTTTCTTGCCTGTGCTGATGAAAATTTGAGAACAGCTGTAACAATCTTTCTCCACTGCTTGTGGTGCCATAATAACATTACTAGCCACAGCCATACCTTTCTCTACTGGGTGCTGCTGTTGTGCGTTTTCGACTTGCAAGTTGATCTGGGATGCAAGATGGAGAGTGTGAATTAAATCCTAGACTGAAGCAGTGTTGTGAGTGAGAAATGTTTTAGTCTCACTCATCATTATACTTTTCTTCAGAAAGGCAGAAAATTATTTTACAGTTAGTACAACCCAAAAGAAAAAAGGGAACATTGTATCAGTGCGACTTCCTCTGGAAAGAGAATGTGTTGTATGGCCCAAATCAGAATGGGCTGCCTAGTTAATGGGTTCTCTGAAAACGCATACAGAAGAGCCGTTGCTATCTGCAGCAAAATGTATGGCAACAGAAATGCCAAGTAGAAAGAAATTCACTTTACTGTGTCTTTCAGATAATATCGTTGGATGCCAAATTCAGTGGGTGAACACATTAAAAAAAACACATATCAAATCAAAAGCAGATTATGTTTTACCTTTGTTTAGAGGAGTCCACAAACGTTGCTCCTCTCAGTGATTTACTTGAATATTAGAAATATGAGATTTGAAAGACTTTTGTGTTTTGATGACTTTTAACAATTTATGTGCAGAAGATACAAAAGAAAATAATATGGGAGGAGGTTAGTGCACTGGATTTATGCTGGTGTTGTGTATTAAATAGTAGCCTTGGTGGTTCTGGTTTGTAAGGTCCGTGTGGAGCTTTATCATAGTAGTAGCTAGTAAGGTGCCAGCCAAACCAAGAAGTATCCAACTGCATAAATGGCTCTCAGGAAAGGTGGATCTAGTTCTATTTGTGTAGTGATTTATTTTCTTCAAATTATTTTTCAGAGTATTCCATTCTTCATTGCTTTTATTGGCCTGGAGTTTGCTGTCAGCTGGGTTCAGAAGCGTAAGCTGTCAGGTCGGATCAATGATGGCATAAGTTCTCTTTCTTTAGGTATCCTGTCTCGACTGCCAGAGTAAGTATACATGTTATATTAGCTCTAGATTTTTAATCACTAAGAAGTAAGAAAAGAGAATTATATACTGAAGTTGTTACTGCTAACCAAAAATGATTAAACGAGGCATCTGGATTTTACTTTGCTAAAATGAAGTTTCATAAAGTGTGTAAATGTCTTTCTAATATGTAAGGTTAAATGTGATACTTGCAGGATATTTTCCAGCTCCAATTATATTCATTTATATTTGATCTTGGATGTCACCTTTTGCTGACTCTGGGACTTCAGCTGACTTGACCCTATCTTATATTTGACTGTATGTTAAAATATGAGTTTTCTTTCATTAACTTCAGAAGGAAGAAAACAAAGCAAACCCAACAAACCAAAATAAGTTCATTATTTTTATTAGCCTTTAAAAATTAAATTGTATGCATATAACCAGATTGACAGAATTGTGAATAAGCATGTGATCCAAAGTTTTTTGAACGCAGTCATAATCTTATGTTTGACTTCAGTGGATTTTAATGCCTGAGAGAATTGTTGCAAACATTATCATCTAATCTATTCTCCAATCTAAAGGCCATAAGATTTACCTGAATTAGTTCAGAGTGAACAGAGTTGTGTTTTAAAGAAGTATCCACTGTGGATTACTAAATATCAAGTAACAGGGAATCTAGCAAATTCTTTATATAAATTGCTTTTAGTGTTTTTCAGGAACTCTAATTGCATCTAAGGAATATCATGTTTTAGATCTGCCTTTGCATGATATGAGCCTCCAGATGATAGATTTTATTACATCTTTTCTGGTAGAATGAGATTACATTTCTATTCCCCATGTATGAATTTACAGATTACCACCAAATTGTATATAATCTGTTCATTACATGAAGAAAAGTTTTTATTCTTTGAATTAGACTATGTGGTGTATTTTTCAAGTCTTTCAATTATTCCCGCAGTCTTTTTTTCTGAATCCTCTGCAGTTCTTCAGCCTTCTTAGTGTTGATGTCTCAAGTGCACTCCATATTTCAGAAATTACTACATCACTGCCAAATAATGAAGTCATTTGTTCTCTATTTCTACTCGATGTTCCTCCCTCTGTATATCCCAGGTCCTCTGAGCCATCCTTCATCCCCAAATATTTTTTTAGATTCTGTGGCTTACGTTCCTCGTTCATAGGCAATATGTTCTTATATTTGGCCACAGAGAAATACATGGACAGTACATTTGGTCATACTGAAATAGTTTGAATCAATTAAATGTTGTCATTGGTACTTAAAGATCCCTGTTTTTTGTCATTGCAAATTTTGCTAGAAATCTCTTTTGATCCAGGTTATTGATAAAATACCTTAAAAGAGCACAGCAACAAAAATTATCCCTTCTGGCAGGTAGCACCCATTTTCTGAAATGTGTAAATCACCCATTTTGTAATCTATTGAACACTTGACATGTACTTGATTTTTTTTAAAAAAAACCCAACTTTCTAATTAAGACAAATTTTGACAAGTTCTATGCCTGTGCCTTATGTACAAAGACAACTTGTGATGGATCGTGTTAGTTATCAGTAGTAAATATCATGGATGAAGCCTTTTAAGGAGTTTGGTAGATAAATAATGTCACTTAGAGACACTCTTCTGAACTCTTAATATATCTGCAGATAAGAAGCATGAACTTTCAGCGTGAGAGGTATTCAAACATAAATTAGTGTTTAAGTTATTTGATAATTTTGTGACTCTACTTTTGCAGGTAGTGTACAACCTATATTCAAACCATTTTGTTGCTCCTAATATGATGTGTGAGCATGATCTTGAAGGAGAAACTTTAAATTTTTCATTATATTTTAAGCTGTAAGAAACTAAATATTTACTCATACATTAGACTTGTGTGCACCTACACACAACCCTGATAAAGGCTTATTCTAGCTTGCATGCAGCTAATATTAACCCAAATTTTCTAGACAGTCATATAGTTCACTGGTTTATGATGCTAAATACTTATTTTTTAAATCTGAAATATTCAGGACTGATTAAGTTAAACAAGGGGACTGAGATATATGTAAGGCAAGTTTGAATGACTTTGTGAGGCCTTTTGGCTTTATTTTAAGAACACTAAAATGCTTCAGATGCACTTACTGCTGGACGAAATGCTTGCTAAGAAAACTAGTGTTGTGTGTGTGGAACGCAGCTGTGCAAGGTACTGAGTACTTTTATTATTTTGGCACTCAGTACTTTGCTGCAGAATTTGGCTTGCAGGCTATGCAGTTTGCTCTTGGATAAGAATTATTTTGCAAGGTTGTTTCAACTGAGTGAACCAGATGACCCTTGATGACACAAACTTTGCAGGATCAGACAAATCTTCATGATAGGTACACTTATTGACTGCCACACCAGCACAAGAAGTCTCTTCCAGGTCACTTGTGTGGCTCTCACAGCTAGAAATACAAGACGCTTCTCAGCAGTTCTTTCCAAAAAAAAAGTTCTGTAAAGCTTTTTACTTTCTGGCTGAATGTGAAAGAAGCAGGCAAAATACAGACTTCCTAAATTATTTAATTGCATGTTAATATCATAGTTCTAATGGTGACTGCTTAGTGTAACACCTCTTTTGTAAGTAGGAGGAGTTGTGAATAATAGACTGGTTAAACAGGCTTGAACTAAAAAAACAGAGCAGCTTACCCTTCCATCTTCTGCTTCCATGGTGTGAAAGAACTGGGTCAGAAAAAAAAAGGGGGGGGGGGAGGAAGTACATGCAAAATCTTTTGCTAAGATTTTCACTTCAGTCTTTTCCTTTCAGGCAGAAAAAAGGTAGAGAAAGCTGACAGAAACTGCTAAAACAATATTTCAGCAGAACCCACAGCATCAGGGGAAATAGTAGTGCAAATCATTAACAGCTGAAGGTTAGATTAACACACCATTGATTGTATCCTCTCCCAGGGACTAATTTTCATTTTCTCAACTAGCAGCAATGGTTTGCCACTTCCTTAAAAAAATCTGTGGTTGAATCTAAAATGGTGGGCTTCAGTCTATTAGTTAGAATGAAGCTTCAGATGCATCATTGCAAAGAGGTCTTTACATTTAATGAAAAAATTAGGAGTCACAGACCATATTCAGCCTCTAAGTATGTTTTTCCATTTCACAGCCTGTATAACAGGAGTATTACATATCTTGAGGGAAAACAGTATTTATTCAGTGTTTCTTACTTCATTGTTGGAGAAAATGCAAATCATAAATTGTTGATATTCGTATGCCAGATATTAAATGTGTAGGTGTAAGAGGAAAAGTCTAATCAGACAAGGCAATGTGTTTTGTTTTTAGGCTTATTAGACTCAACAGCATGTAGTAAGTTGAATTGCTTTGTGTGCATACATATCACCTCTTGTAAAATAGCTCATACATTTCTTAAATATAATTTTCTCTGCCTTAATGCATACTATGCATTCCTCTGCATGTATGAATACTAAATATTATATGGAATGAAAAGTAATTTGAGGGAGAGGGAGAGACTTGAATTACTAGGCTCACTCCCAGCATCCTAAATGTTGTTGGTTAAAAAATTTCTGAGAACTTTTATTCTAAATAAATAAATAACTCTTCTAACTAACCATTGCCAGGAGACTTGAAATGCTGCTTTAAAAATATTCTCCCAAGAGAAAGTTTATTTTGGGTATAAATATCCACTATACAAGTATGTATATTATTTCATATTGGCCCATTTCTTCTTTTAAAGCAGCAGAACATAAATCAAATCAAAAAGTGTTTGGGGGATACCTGAGGTAGGTACATTTTCAAACTAGTTGGGAAAGTCTCCGGTCTTTATGGTCATGCTCAATTGCCAGTTTTTAGTGGTCAACTCTGCAACACAGTCATACAGTGTGTGTGTGTGTGTGTGGCTAACACAGAGTTTTGTCAGTCAGGTCTGCAGTGAGAACATTACCATTTGCATACATTATTTACTTCAGTTTCTGAAACAGATGAGATTAGAGTTCTCTGAAACATTGTTGAACATCAGAAAGGAATGAGAAAATGCTTTTTGATCGGTTCATGCTATTATGCATCTTAAGATATCTGCACATTAGCAATAATTGAATCAAAAGAGTACAAATCATTTCTGCTGTAGACCAGCGTAATCAGTTTTGTATGTCATCTAGATTTTAAATAATCTTTTTGTGGAAGTTAGCTTGAAGAGGCAGTTTCATGTACATTTTAGATCAGCACTTATGCCAAATGAAGCGCCTTTGACTGACTTATACTTCTGGTTCCTCGTTCCTGCCTCTCCCACCTTCTCTCCCCTTTTGCCAGCACCAGCATTTGTGTTGCCCTGTGGTGAAGTGGCCCAGGAAGCAGGTCCAGCACCCCCCCATCATATTAACCTGCATCAATTCTTACTGCAGCTGTGCAAAATCTTGTTCTAGCAGAAGAAATGGGCTTGGAAGAAAAGCAGTCCGGGTTGCAGGACAAGAAATACTCAATTCTTTTTTGTAGCAATACTGAGTTATCTGCTTTAAAACATACGTAAAACTGCAATCTGAAGCCAGAAGTTTACAATTCTTAATAGTAGCAATATGCAGACTTGACAAGAATACATTCAGTTCAAGTTGATGCAAACAGTTCACAACCCTGTGGAGCTGGCAGTGTCCTGACAGAACACAAAATACTTGCCTGCATGGGTTTACCCATTTAAAGTATGTCCTGAAGTATCTACTAGATACTTTATGTTTGACTATAGAAAATTATAATCATAAATTAATGATTGCATCTCTTAGAAGAAAATTTGATACATGCGGTTTCTCATAAATTACATTTTCACTTCAAGACTTATTAGGTACATTTTTTTTTGTCTCCACATATGTTTGACTAAGGCTTCGGACAGATGTTTATTTAGAGCATGGTCAGATGTGTTGCTTCTGATCCAGCTGCCCCCTCAGATCTGCCAACATAACTGCACATTTAATTGCTCCCTAACCTGGTCCTGACAAAGTGATCCAGCTAAAAGCAGAAACAAAAGCCCCCCAAGAACTATAAAAGAGG